CTATATTTTATCAAATTGTCAATAATTGTTCATAGATCTTTTTGGAAACACATGTTTACAACAGTTGGGCAGAGTGAACAAAATTAAAATTTATGTTTGAATAAATATAATTTAAAGGACACAGTATCCAATAGCAGTGCTATGTGTTGTTTGTAGGCTTTGGTCTGCAAATAATATCATCTCCCAACAAATTTGTTTTAGAAGAGAACGGTAAAAATACATCATGCTTTTTAATCTAAAATTAATACCATAGAAGGGGAAAAATGAAAGGATATTCTTGAAGTATATCAAAGAACGAGAAAAGATAAAGGAAGGTAGAACAAACTTGCTAAGTACCAAAAGTGGCAACAAAAAGAAAAGGAAGTTTTGATTCCATACGCTACTTATAAATGCTACCAAAATGTTTGGCTTTTTGCCATTAGAAGAAATAAACACTGAATAAAGAAATATGTGCTTTGTAGAAGAGGTGGGCAGATGCTTCAACCCTGTGAAAGTCAAGTGTAGGTTTAGACCCTATAATTGGGATTGGAAATCTGGAACATTCCCCAAATAACTGGATTCCATTTCTCATTACCCCAGCCAAGCTGATTAATGGCATTTAAAATCCAGCACATCTGGAAGCTCAGAGTTTATCTAGAATGTATTGCAGTATAAGTCCTACAAGCACTATGTTTTCAGCAGTAAAAATGGTGCATATAATTTATGTTCACTTTTTATGAGAATTTGTATCAATGGAGCTTACCCTTGAAAAACAAATAAGTTTAGGGAAATAAGTTTTAATACTTTTCCCATGGCTGTGAGAGGTCTTTCATTGTCTAGACTAGAGTCTGATCAAGATTTTCTGATGCTGCTACAGTATTTATGTGACAAAAACTATTCATATGAATTTCATCCACTTGCATAGTATTATGTCTAGCTTGGGCCTAAGAAAGTGGTCAAGAAATTACTGGGCAAAGCAAATAAATCATTCTCAAGAATTGACATATAGATTTCTAAAAATATCACAAATAAAATCTCAGAAGTTTATATTGTTACCAAATCTTTCTCAGATCAACAATCCAAATGTTGATATTCAGGAAAAAAAAGATTTTGAAATATAGCTGAAGAATGAATGATTCTATTTTACAGAAAGAGATGATTGTAAAGGATTGTAAGGAAAGAAAATATTTTAACAATAATTTGGACAAATTAACTGTCTATTTTAGTTTATTGACAAGGTTATAAGACTAATCAATAAACTACTACTACTGACTTGGATGTCAGCAAAGAGGTTATGAAATATTATTTCATACAATAACACTGTCTAGAGAAAAAGAAATCCCAGGGAAAGATGTAAAATATACTAAATGAAATTAGAAGTAGAGAGACTGAACTGCAAAATGCACCAAATTTTACACCAAATTAAATTGCTACGTAAGCAACTCTCTGTGTTAACAGTCCGTGAAATCGAAATGAAACTGAATTATGTGAATTTTCAATTTGCAAAAATACCAGGAAGATGATTGACATATAAACTGAGAAAAGAAAATGATAGAGAAAATTCAAGAAGCTGTATTGCAATTTCTATTAGAAACAGGAAGTACGTGTAGTCCTTGACTTTCAACAGTTCATTTTGTAACTGTTCAACGTTACAGTGGCACTAAAAAAAGAGACTTATGACCATTTTTCCTCTTGCTGATTTGATCAAAATTCGGATGCTTGGCAACTGGTTCATATTTATGATACCAGGTGTCATGCAAACAGCTTTTGTGACCTATCAAACAAAGTCAATGAAGAAGCCATATTCACTTAATAACAGTGTTACTAACTTAACAATAGCAATGATTCACTTAACAATTGTGGAAAGAAAGGTCGTAAATTGGGGCAAAACTCACTTAACAAATATTTCACTTAGCGACATAAATTTTGGGCTCAATTGTGATTGCAATTTGAGGATTAGCTGTAGTTATGAAAAAAAATAGAGGATTATTTGCAAAACAATACTTACGAAGCTCTCAGAAGCTCAGAAGCAATTTATGAATGAACCAATAACTGCCTTTGAAATATCAGAAGTGATTTAAAAAAATTAAAATTGGTAAAGCTCTGGGTCCGGATGGCCTCACAAGCCAGCATTATAAATATTTTGAGGATTGACTCCTACAGCTACTAAGGGATATAATGAATTGTGTACTACAGGGAAGATAATTTCTGCAAACTTGGAAAGAAACTAATATTGTGTTATTACCAAAGGAAGGTCAAGATGTTCTGAAGATAAAAAACTATAGACCAATTTCATTACTAAACAATAGACTACAAACATTTTACTGCAACACTGGAAGAAAGACTGAAGAAATTTCTATAGTCCTACATTCATGAACATCAATCTAGCTTTTTGTCCAAAAGACAGCTGAGAGACAATGTGAGAATTGTTTTGAATGTTACTGAATACTTGTACTTTTATAACAGCTTTAATATCCCAGAATGTGGAGAAAGCTTTTGATAAGTTAGAACTTTATGGTTAAAGTTGTGGAAGGCATAAATTTTGGAGAAAAATTTATTCAAGGGTTTAAAGCAACATCATAGCAAGCAAAGATTATCATTAATGGAGATTTAACTAAACCATGTGAAATTCAAAAGGTTACAAGATAAGGATGTCCTCTATATCACCTGTTTATATTAGTTTTGGAAGTTTTAAATAGAGATACAAGATAGAGGATGAGAAAATAGTAGGCATAAGAATAAAAACAAGTTTATAAATTGAGAGCTTTCGCTGATGACTTGTTTATGCAAGACCCCAAAACTGGCATAGAACACTTGATGAAGAAGCTAAATGACTTTGGAGCTTTAGCCGGTTTCAAAATAAACAGAAGATGAAAATGCTTGTTAAGAATATGACTTCTTAAGATTATGAAATAATGGTAAGAAAGTTGGGTGGAGAAAAAGGCTAAATACCTTGGATTTACATCGACAAATACGAACTTCAAACAATTTTGTACCTGTATGGAATGACATTAAAAGGACTGATTAATATAGGATAATTTGCAATTATCCCTGTTGGGTAGAATCTCTGTAATTAAGATAAAGGTCTTACCAATGATGTTATTTCTACTTCTACCAAAATTGACAACCAAGAAGATTATTCGAATTAGAGAGCCATGAAATAAGATGGATGATACTCCTGCTTATAGTATGATAAGATTGATTTAAGAATCCTTTTGTTAGATGTGCCGTACTAAGGATTTGGGATAAATGTAAAACAAGATTCTCTATGACAGTAACTGTTTGGGGATCACCTCAGGAAGCTTTTTTCAGAAAAGAAACGATGTCTCCAGATTGGCGGAGTTATGGTCAAATAATAACGTTCATTGTGAACCAACTCTTTTGTCTAAAGAAGAGTTGGAGTCAGAAGGAACTCTCATTGTTATTGTCATCCACTGGTTGTCATCCACTGGTTAATCGTCATAATCCACAATTAACCAGTGAAACGGCTTGCGTTCAGAAGTTGTAGGTGCTTCATCACTGGAGGCTTTTAAGAAGAGACTGGACAGCCACTTGTCTGAAGTGGTATAGGGTCTCGTGCTTGAGCAGGGGGTTGAACTCCAAGGTCTCTTCCAACTCTAGTATTCTGTAGATATTTGGTTTACAAATATACAGTTGAGAGAAAGATTTAAGCTAGACAAAAAAGTTACAGATTTAACCTTGCAAAAATTAATTTGAAATTGTATTATGTGGAAATGATGAACAGGTTATTGCCAAGGTTTATAAATTGTAATTGAAATTTAATTCGGAAAACAATTGTATGAAAGAATGCATGATTCAATAGGCAAAGAATTTTGGGTATAATAAATTCTTGAATAATGGAAACACATGTGGATGAAGGGTTTAAAATTTACATTAAACTATAACTTAAAATAAATTTTTTATAAAATGCTGTGCTGATGGTATTTAGAACCCCATAAATTGTCAAAGATATATAAAAGTACTTCAAATATATGGTGGAACTTTGGTGGACTTGAAATACTAGGGTAAGCTTCTTAAAATAAATATACAACTTAAACCATAGACTCTTCTGGGTTTAATGGACAAAGCATTTTAAAAAATGGAACTTTGTTAAACATGTTGACAGCAGAACAAAAATGGAAACATATAATAATTCCCACAATGGAAGAATGGTTGGAAAAACTGAAGAAACTGGTGGAACTAGCAGAGATGGCCAAATTAACTGCTTTAATTAACAAGAAGAAGGCATCTAACTTTATTTCTATTTGGAAACTGCTTCTAGATTTTGTGCTTGAGATAGAAAAAAATGAAACTTTGATTTTGGGATTTATGGATCAGACAATTTTTTTTTTGTTATAGAAATGACTTGTATATATAGATTATGCAAAGTAAAAATTGAAGTTGTAACATTATTGTGTTCATTCTTCTGCACCGAAAAGGAAATTAATGCTTTTTTTCTTTTTGCCCCTTTATCCCGTATTTCACTTTCTCCCTTTTCCCATTATTTTCATTTTCATTTTTATATTTTATACTTAAGTTCAGTAAAATTATATTATAAAAAATAAAAGAAATGGCTGGAGTGAGAAGAGAAATAGCTTAAGTCATAATAGTAAATTTATCAATGTTCCAACTTAGCCTTAGAAAGCTGTGCAGGGTAATATATTTAATATATACTATAGAGTTAAGTTCAGTTGAATGTTTCATTATCATAATATGTATAGTATAATTTGCTTTCTATTTTATAATATTTATTTGAAAGCAAGCACTAAAACAATATACTTTCCACTTGGTGCACAGGGCAAAGGAAATGAACTTATTTTTGCCCAAGATAAAAATCAGCAGTTCAAAGAAAATAAGAGAGTATGTTCTGGATAAGAACAACTTTGTTTCCCCAAAGTTATTTTTGATAAACAGGAATTGTTTTTTTTTTTAATAGTTTCTTTTAAAATGTTAAAAAAAGAGTAAACCGTAACATCCAAACAGTACTTTGTTTTCTAAAATACATTTAAACCTTTTGACAGGTTTAGATCCAGATAAACATCTAGGAAAAACATTGGATGAAATGGAACCTTATCTTTTGAAAGTAAGTATTATTGAAAATATATATTAAATATATGGTGCTTCAAAATAATAAAACTAGTCACACTTCATTCCTAAAGAATGCAGGTTTAAAAAGAAAACATTACATCATAATTTAGCAAACTGAATTTTCCTAATCAACAAATTACATATGTTCTATTTCTTTAAGAACAATTGATTAAAAATAAGATTTGGATTCATGCTTAACATTAATTGATTGATTGATTATGTGCCATCATGTCAGTGTCACTTCTTAGCAATCTCATGGATTTTCTCCTGCAATCGTGCTTAAAATAGACCTACTGAAGTTAATAAAGCTTTAATTAGTAAAGCATGATAGTAGGATGTTGTTTTCATATTCTTAATGTGGCAATGTTTGGGTGGAGTTTACTATTTTTCTATATGATGGGAAACAATTCTAAAAGGAATGCATAAATTGGAAAGAATTGCCAAGAATTGAGTTGGACTCGAGGGATGTTTTTACGTAACCTTTTAGTGAGAAAATAATAGGACTCCACATGCTTCTGGAATGATTTGGAAGAAATGTTTCAGACATCATTCAATACAGCCTGCTGTATTCATTGAAATATTATTTCTGTAAAGTTTTTGCATAAGTCTGGAAAAAGATTCTTAAGGCTTTATGGAGTTCCCATTAAATTTAATATGTTCTTAAGACAGTTGCACCTTTTTTCAGGCTTGGCCTTGTAGGAAGATAAAGACTATCATGCGTTCTGGATTTGATCTTCCAATGTAACAAACAAATACAAAAAGCACTATTTTTCAGGAATATGAAGTTTCAGAATACAAACTTTACTACATGAAATATATTTAATCAGCTTCATTTCTTGAATTTGACAATTATTATTAGGAGTTGATTCTACTTCTGACCCCTTAATATTTTATTATTAATAGATTTCTGAATACTGAAGATTTTCTTGTATTGAGACAAAATTCTTTAACCTTTAATATGTCCATTTAGTTTTTGATTTAGTTTGTTTCCGCTGCATTGGCCAGTTTTTTAAACATATTTTAGTCACTAACACATTTGAAAATGTTTCCTAAATATTTTGGGTAGAGGGAAGTCGAAAAAGTGTTATTTTTTTTTAAAAAAAGGGGGGGGGGAGAAGAAGGAATTGTCTTAGAAATTTAATTTATTTATTTTTCTTTTCCTGCATCTTTACATCTCCATGACTAAGAAGTTCTTTGATAATATTAGCTTTGGATTTTTTTTTTAAAAAAACTACTTTTCTTTAGAAATTTGCTTGAAAAATCTAAGTAGTTGCTAGAAATACTTCTAGTTGTCATTAGTTTTTTGTGTATTTGTGGAGTCTAACTTTTTTCTTCCTTCTTTAACTATGCTTATTTTAAATATAAAACACCAAAACTGTTTAATGAAACAAAGAAAAAACACAAAACAAACAGGACATTTAAAAAGTGCATTACAAAAAAACCTAATATATATACACATATTATCCCTCCTAGTTGAATACTGATTAATATAATACAGCAATATTAGTTTCCCACCCCTTGCAAAACAGGCCCAAAGAATTTTTAAACTACAGCCACCCAGATGTCATGCTGGATCTTTCCTAAGTGCCCCCATTCAAATCCATGGAGCAACGCTGCCGAAGAACCAGCTTTGGCAACAAAATCAGCAGATGGTCAGCAAAAGAGGGAAAAAAACTTCCTACCTATCAGGGAGTCATTCTGAGGTGGCACACTTTTTTGTTCCTGTTCAGGTAGCCTTTGTTTAGTGACCACAATTGGAACTGGCAACTTGGGTGTTAAGTGAAGTAGTTGATAAGTGAAACTGTGATTGTGGCTATGTATTTCAGCTTTCCTTTGCTTTACAGACCTGCAAAGGTCATAAATGTGAGGATTGGTCATACTGTTACTTTTTCATCACCACTGTAATTACAAAGGATTGTTAGATGAGGCAGTTGTTAAACAAGGACTGTGTATATAAGCATTTGTAAGCTTATATATTGTAGTTATATTACAGGTAGTCCTTATAACCATTTGTTTAGTGACCAAAATTACAAACACACTAAAAAGTCACTTATGAGCATTTTTCACACTACTACTAATAATAGTAATAGTAATAATAATAATAATAAAGTTGGGAGGGACTTTGGAGGTCATCTAGTCCAATTCCCTGCAAAGGCAGAAAACACTATACCATTTCTGACAAATGGCTGTCCAGTCTCTTAAAAACTTCCAGTGTTGGAGCATTCACTGCTTCTGGAGGCAGGTTGTTCCACTGGTTATAATTCTATCTATCAGGAAGTTTCTCCTTAGTTCTAGATTGCTTCTCTCCTTGATTAGTTTCTTGTCCTGCCTTCAGGCGCTTTGGAGAATAGCTTGATTTTCTCTTCTTTGTGGCAGCCCCTGAGATATTGGAACACTGCTATCATGTTACCCTAGTTCTTCTCTTTGTTAAACTAGATATACCCAATGCAGTAGTCTCATGGTCACGTGATCAAAATCAGACGCTTGGTAACTGGCACGTATTGATGATAGTTGCAGTGTCCCACGGTTATGTGATCACCTTTTGCAACCTTCTGACAAGCAAACTCAATGGGAAAGCTGTTGTTCCCCATTGTTGTTAGTAACATAACAACCACGTTACTAACTAAATAACTGCAGTGATTCACTTAACAACTGCAGCAAGAAAAGTTGTAAAATGGGGCAAAACTCACTTAACAACTGTCTTGCTTAGCAGTGGAACTTTTGGGCTCAGTTGTGGTGATAGGACTATCTGTATATTCTTTTCAATGATTTGTCACTGGAACACTTTTATTACATGTGTTATAGAAAGTTGTTGCACTATCTTCACAAACCCACAAACTTCCATCCATATGCAGAGACATGAAAGCTAAGATCAAATCTATGTAAGCAATCTTCTAAAGGTAGAAATATTCCTTTTTCCTCGTATTAGATTGCTTTTCATGCATTTTGTCATGGTTGAACCATGACAGTTGGAGGCCAAAACTACAGCAGTGTAAAAGAACATTGCTCAATAAATTCTTATTTTGGTTGGGTTTGTGTTTCCCAGTAAATGTCAGCATACATAAATATTTTACTAGATATTTAGCTAACTTTATAACTTACTGAAACTGAAGCATAAACACCAGCTGCAGAGAAAGTAAAGGCTATAGTTCTAAAAATATTTTCTTCGAATTCTGTCAGGGGGTGGTTGGTGTGTGTGTGAGAGAGAGATTGCGAGGGAGAGAGAGATAGCAGTATCAGAAAGAAATTAGCTAAATGCTTTTTTAGATATTTGTCATAGGCAAGATCTAATTGCTCCATTTCTTTAATCCCCTCTTTATTGAACACAATATAATCCAAATAATTACATATAAACTTGTGTGTTCCTGTCTTCAGATTTTTGATAACTTGAATCTAGAAAATTCTAGATGACCAAAGGTTATCTGAAATCTAACACCTGCCTTTAAGAAGGAAAATTTAGAAATTTATAAGGACTGCATTCACAGCATTAAACTATGCTGCTGTCTGTAGCCTTCTTTGATTATTATTTAGAATAATAGTGTTTCCCATATGTGTCACATTTCAAATATATGGACTTCAACTCCCAGAATTCCCCAGCCACAATTGCCATGGCTGAGAATTCTGGAGATTGAAGTAGGTGCATCGGCTATTGAGAATCTATACTTTTTGGAGTCAGCTATATTTTATAGCTACCCTTTCCCAGGGTAAAATTGGTAGATCCATGTTTAACCAGTATTTACGTTATATTCTGCTTATAAAGGGCCTTAAATAATTTGAGTCTGACAAATATAAAGCTTCTAGTCTTTTGCTGCCTTCCAGATTACCAGTTGTATTTCATTGTTTGATTGATAACGTAACATCAAGTTATTTTTGACTCCTGGTGATTAATATGCACATCATGCTAAACCCATTAATATTTGTACTGAATCATATTCAATTTTAGATATTCTTTTTTTATCCATTGTAGTTGTACAAAAAGACTGGAGGCTATTGTAGTTTCTCACACTTTTTCCATAACAGATTATTTATATGCTTGATTATTAATAAGCATATCAAAAGTTTTATTTATTCTGAGATTCTTCTAATAATAGCCAGAGCATGCCATTATTCCTTAAGACAGGGTTCCCCAACCTTTCCAGCTTTGTGGACCGGCTGGGTGTGTGAGGAGGAGAAGGGATGGTTCCGTGCAAGCAGCCGGTAAGCGAACATGTGCCCACCACTCATGCAAATGGAACATGCGCACACGCGTTTGCCCACTATTTGTGCAACTGGGAATGTGCATGCTCACCTGCCACTTCCACAGCCCAGTTCTGAATGGCTCACAACCCAGTAATGGGCCACCACCCAACGGTCCAGAACTCCTGCCTTAAGACATAGGTGCATTCACACACATTTTAAAAAATAATAATAATAATGAATTCTTGGACAAATAATTGTGTCCTAGTTATAATGAGATATATTAAAACTGTTTATAATTTATTTATGCACGCGCACACACACACACACACACACAAACAATGCTTTCTTTTGACAAGGCTGACTCTGTTCTCATCTGGCATGTCCAAAATAGAGACTGGAAGCTATTGCTTTTGTTTTAGAATGACCTTGAACTGTGGTCAGAATGTTAACTATAGTATCTATACTAAAATCTTGCATTGCTTAATAGAAGAAGAACAACCAGCCTCTTTTTGCAGTTCCTAGTTCCTTTCCTGATCAGTTACTGGAGATTTGTCTGGAGTTCAAATAGTTCATTCAACCTATCTTCCGAAGCAGGCACATCTTATTGTATGGGCATGTTGCCTGCAGTAAATTGGGAAGAAGTTCCAGCAACAGGAAGTTATGATATTCCACTCCAAGCAGTTATAACACCAGTAGGAACTCTTAAAGTATTTGATCTTGATGTCCAGGAAAGATTTGTGGCACCAAAAAGGCATTATTAGAACAAATAATTTTAGGAAACTTGTAAATATTTTTTTCTTGTTGGGAAGTGCTTGTTGGATGCTTCAGTAAGGGAGAACAATCATATATTTTGTTCCAAATAAAGCTCTAATTTGTAGCCACTTTTCCCTGACACGGTTTCCATTTCCAGCAGCTTTGCAAGAGTAGTTTTGAAAGAAGGAAGAATAAGTTGTTTTAACTAACAGTTTTGTAAGTTGGCATTCTTGCTGCATCAGCATTAATTATTCTTGACGGATTTGTCCTGCAAGAACTTTACAGCAGCTTCTGACAGGTGGAGCTATACTTTTTTCCATCAGCATAAACTTTGGAAGTGAAAGCTTCCAAAGCAAGATTAAAAGAATGTTTGGTTATTTTTAGATAAAGAAATTTAGACAAAGGGAAATTTGCTCATTGAAAGGAAAATGTCTGATAACCCAGAACCTGAAAAGATAATTTGAACTACATTTGAATATAAATACATATGTACTTATATATATCCGGCTAGCCATCCAAAATGTGTAAATAGACATGTTTCTATTATATGACAAATAATATATTCATTTGCAGGATACAGGCAGTACACAAAACCACACACCTTCCAGTCCGCGGAAAAACCTCTCTCCATGTAACCAGTCCCTAGTGCTCAAAAGGTTGGGGACCTCTGTTTTTGAGAGGCATTTAAGTTAGCAACTATTTGGGCCTGGGCCTGGGCCCGGGTCTCAAGTGGGTGAAAGGTCCCATTTCTTGGTTGTGTTAACAACCATTGATTGTGACATCTTTCTTGGCTGCAGTGTATTTTAATTTTTGTATATATGATGATAATTTGTTCCTTAATTTATTTTAAGATTGTTCAATGCCCACAGTCACTTGCTAAATCAGGCAGCCATACAAATTGAATAAACAAACAAAGGAAGCTTTAGTTCTTTCCTGCGTAAGTTGTCGGCTGAGACAGGAATCAGAGGACAAGGGCAGAAATATTCGATTCCAACACGCAAAAAAAAGTCAGAGCTATGAAATATTTCAAGTAGAAACTATTATTAATCCAGAAGTCATTTGCAACATACAGTGTAAGGACTGTGAGAAGGGAGTAAGACAAGCAGAGACAAGATTAGCAGAATGCATCCACAAGTATCAACAGGCTGCCAGGAGATATGAATGAAAATTCATTAATTTCACAGGACATACTGGTGGTAAATTCAGTTCAGTGTCAGTTAGGAAGCTCTAGACATTTTAGATCAAACTAGGGCTAAGAATGCTACAGAATTCCTAGAAGTTTGGCACACTGACATATTAGAAATAAATCCCATTTATGAAGTATATATGGCCTTGTATTACATCCCAGATGTGAGTTTCTGGTGATAATATAGTCTAGTCTAGCAATTAAATGCCTGTAAGAAAAAAATCAGACTAAGAGACCACCAAGGACCCAACAAATAATCCTCTGGTGGCTTTCCATTGGTCATTTGTATTAGCGCTCCCTTAATAATGTAATATTTGTATGCCACTTCAGTCAGCTAGTCCTTTGTTGATCTAGCACTGTCAAGAAATTCTCTGAAGACTATAAAAGACTAGCTTTGATAGAAAGACAGGATGCATATCAAACAGCTCAAATTGGCCAGTTTCCCATTTTCTGTATTATTGATGAACCATCAATAAATTTGGGGATTACCATTCATATTTTATGCAATAATTGTTATCTGAACATTATGTGAGGGTTTTTTTTTCCTCACTTTTGTATCTGTGTTGTGCCTAGTCCAGTGTGTCTATGTTCTTGATCTGGTGTAGAACTATATTTGAACTAATATAGCTGAATTGTGTGTTGAATAAGGATTTGCTCAAGTTGATGGCAGTAGCCTGTCGGTAGCGTAAAGATCAAGAGTTCTAGAGACCTATGATTGAGACAGGATATTGTACCAACTCTGAAAGTGAATAAATAGCGCTGCAACAGTTCCTATAATTTTCTGACATCTTTGAGACCTCACACCCAACTTGCTTGCAGTGTAGAAATAACAGCATCTTGAAAGAATAGTATTTATTTGCCACTCTTCAACTGAAAATATTTATCATACCTAGATGAGAATTAAATTGAAAATAGAATCAGCATTCAGTCTTAGGAACAGTATAAGCTGCCATCCTATGCTTGCCTCATTGATTTGATTAAGTCTCATTTATCAAAAGAGGGATTACTTTTTCAATAAGGATATGTACATTTCAGTCCTACAAACTCTGATGTACTGTTAGCAGTGTAATACAGCTTTCAGTACTGTACATTCTTGCATATTTCTCACTTTATTTTTCACGACCCCTGCCTCTGGAATGAAGTTCCTCCTGAAATCCAGAGGACTCACACCCTCATCCACCACAGTCCCTGATACTGCTCAAGAGGTTCTTAAAACCTGGCTGTTCTCCCAGGCCTTTGCTTAGAGTTCCTTGCAAATTTTGTTGACACATCTTTTTAATGTTGAAACTGCATTTGTTTGTGCTATTAGCTAGACTTGCCAGTTTTTTCTTTATTCTGTCCCTTATCTGTTGATTTTGTCTTTTTGTATTGTATTGTATTCCTTCGATGTATTGTGGATAAATTGAATTCACTTAAATTCAGTTTATAAGAACCCTTTGTACTATTCCTCAAAGCATTTTGTTCCTTTTTCAGCTTTCTCAGAAGTATGGAGTCCATATCTGTGGAGAAGGGGGAGAATATGAAACATTCACATTGGATTGCCCTCTGTTTAAGAAGAAAATCGTTGTGTAAGGACCCATGTCTTCTCTTTTCTTTAAATGTTAGCATTGGGACCATACTAATATTTAGCTTTAGGCCACTTTTCTTGGCAGCAGCAAAACATATCCTCTAAGTTCACAAATACCCACTTTGTTTAACACTGGCAAAGCCCTCCACTAACCTAAATCAATGCCTGACAAGATGGGGCCTTCATAGAAAGCTATAAACTTTTTAGACATTTGCACTTTCGTTTACTTGCTGATTATGGCCTGCAGTAAAACTGGTACCTACACACTGACACTTTTATCCTTTCATGAAGTGCGAATTGCCAGTAATATTTATCTTTCATTACAGCTACATTTGATAAACTGCCACATCAGTAGCCTGTAGGTTCCATTAACTCTATTTCCCTTTTCTCTTTCATTCTCCCCCCCGCCCCCCCTCCCCCCCTTTTTTTACCATTTTAACATTAGCAAGTTAGAATGATAATGCTAAACATTTTGTTTGAATTGCTGAGGGATGCTTTAGAATGCTAATGTTTTGAACCTTTCCAGGTTGCCCCGAGTTATTTTTTTTCTATATATTCTTAAAATGTATGTATAGACATATGGAGAATTTATTATAACTATGTAAATTTGTCAGTATAATTATGGCAGAGAAGTTAGACTGCACGTATTAAGGAAAATATTTCAATGAAACCCTTTTCATCTGAATTTATGGAGTATCTGCTTTATCCCGTGTTCATATCAATAACTGCAATGAAGAAGGATCATTTGTTTATAGACCTCAAATGCCCCACTCAGGAGTAACCCCAGGTAGATACAGTTTGATAAAATTATCTGAGAAGTAGAGTATTTCAAGAAGAAAATTACCCTCCTGATAAATGTAGGAAATATTTCTGACTGAATGCATCAACTGCACTGTCTCATAAATAATATATGTAAATAAATAGTCTTACTCTGAAGATACATACTGTAGAATGTAAAGGGCCAGCAACCTTCTCAAACCTGATAATTTCCAGGTATGTTGGATTATATTTATTTGTTAAATTTATTTATTTATTTTTTACTTCTAATGCCAACTAGTACAGTCGTAAGTACATTGTTTGGCGATTATGAAATGTATATTCCAGCTTATGTGGAGGTCACCAAGTTGGGAAAAGTTGAGCTTTAAAAGATGTTATCTCCCCAAATCTTTTTGTTAGTTATGTTATGAATATTTCAGATTTCCTAGGTTTCTTTCTATAAAGTTATTTTAGTATAATGGCCATAAGTTTTCATATGAATCAAGGCTTAAGTACAAACCCTTTGAGTTCAGCTTCACTTCTGTTTTATTCCAAATGAATAAAGGATGTGATCCATTTGGTTTTCAAGGAAGCCATTTAACATATAGTGCTGAAATTCTTCAATGAGAACCCGTAGTGGGTATGAGCTGCCTTCTCAGGTAAGGCAGATATTTTCCATAAACACATGGTTCTTTGTGGTGATTCCCAATACCTTTCCTTTGGACTCCAAATCCCCCTCCCTTTCCTTTATATTCCAAACAGAACTTCCATCTGTCTTGGACTTTATAAGTGGCACCCATTCACAATATTTGGAGCAAAGACTAGTCATTTGTATCTGTTACTTATTAAAACCGAACCCAATTCAGACTGATTTAAATGCTATAAGTGGTAATATAATTACTAATAAAGGAGAATATTTGTAGCTTTGGGTTGACATGAGGGGGCCTTAGTGCTCTCTGAACTTGCTTGTTTTCTTCCAGACATTTCATTACCCAAACTAGGTAACATCATCAGTGCATCAGAGCACTGATAATCACTAATGATGATTTTTCCTAGGTGGGTAATGAAACATCTGCAAGAAAGCAAGCAATCTCATATAGCACCAAGGTAGTATCATTCTTATTTTATACATCTATGATATATAGTTCTGATTATTTATTTTTGTTTTGTGTATGGAGATCCTTAATTGTCCTGGTCATGATTGTCCCAAAGGTGCTTTTTCCAAAAGCCAACTAGACTTTTTTCTTTTTTTCTTTGAAAATGTTTCCAGTGAGAAACGTTTTCAAAGAATATAAATCCTTTGATTCCCCACTAGAAAAGTTTTCAAAGAAAAAAAACCAAGAAAGTCTTTGAAGAATATCAATCCTTCCATTCCCCACCAGTCAGTTAGAACTGAAAAAGCTTTTTAGATGAGAAGCAAAACATTTTCAAAGAAAAAAAAACCCAAGAAAGTCCAGTTGGCTTTTGGAAAAAGTACCTGTGGGTTATTTTTATATGTTTTGCTTTCAATACAACAATACAATTTATTTTTCAATACACTTTTAAAAATTTTGTATTATAGGGACTCATCAGAAGTGGTTGTACATTCAGCAGATGCATTTGCCCCTGTGGCTTATCTCCGCCTATTAAAGTTGCATTTGGAAGATAAGGCAAGTCCAACATTCAACAATTTTATTTAGATTGTCATTTAGAATCTCAGGGAAGATGCCATATATACTGGTAGGAAAATGATGGGTTTCTTTCTTCAAATAATTATTTATGTATTGGGCTGAAGAAGTGTTGTTTTACATTTACTGAGATGATATCTAGAAACAAAATGAATTTGTTTGAATTACAAATGATTGAGAAATTGTTCTTGAAAAACAGGAATGTGTTTGAAGCAGAGCCATCATTTGAGAAGATTCTGTTAGTTTTTGACTCTCTGTGTGTGTGTGTGTGTCCATGTGTTTATGTGTAATTTATATGTTTGAGTGAGATGTACAGACCGATGATATGTAGGAATATTTATTTTGAACAATATTTGCTGATTAGAAAAAGAATATGATTTGGTCATAATTTTATTGCAAGTAGAGGGGCACAATGGCTCATCAGTTAAGGACACTGAGCTTCAAGACCCGAGTGCTGTTCAATGGGTTGAGCTCCCATTATTTGTCCCAGCTGCTGCCCACCTAGCAGTTTGAAAGCATTTAAATGCACTTTGATGGGAAGATAACAGCATTCCATGTACCTCAGTGTCTGGCCACATGACCACGGAAATGTCTTTGGCAAGGCTGGCTCTCTAGGCTAAGAATTGGAGATGAGCACTGCCCCCTAGAGTTGGAAATGACTGGACAGGGGAAACCTTTATCTTTTAGTGTAAGTAAGCATAATAGTGAAATGACAGGATCAACTCACCAATCTCTCTTGAACAGAATTGTAGAGAATATAGATGATAGCCTTGTTATAGCCATAAAGACGACTTGCTTATGAGAAAGAAAATACAATTTTAGATCAAGTAATCCTAGCCCACCTCTTGCGTTAGAATCTTGCAGCAATTTATATTTAATTCTTATTTTCTTATTTTGCCATACAGATAGTTCTCAACTTACAACCATAATTGTGACTAGAATTTCTTGCGCTAAGCAACGTGGTTGTTAAGTGTGTCATGCCTGATTTTACAACCTTTTTTGTCATGTTATTAAACAAATCACTTCAATATTAAGTGAATCATGTGGTCATTAAACAACGCCAGCTTTCCCCATTGGCTTTTCTTGTCAGAAGATGGCTGAGAAGGTTGCAAATGGCGATTCCCTGAACCTGGGACATTGCAGCCATCATAAAATACATGCTGCCTGAATCACATGGCTGTGGGGATGCCGCAATGGTCATGTGAAGATCAATCATAAGTCACTGTTTTCAGTGCCATTGTAACTTCAAACAGTCATTATAGAAATCGTTGTAAGTCAAATATTTGTATACATTTAGAAATGTGTTTCTGATATTATTTAAATCAGTCACCCTGACTGGTATTATCTGGAATAAAAATGACATCCTAGATAAAGCATTCATTTTTATTACTGAAGTTCTACCCAACAATGACAACTGAATGGTTAGTCCTCAGCTTTGAAGTTATGACAAACCTGCCCCAAAGTACTTAAGACCCGGTTTTGAACTTCTGATGGTTGACCCTTCCCATACACACAGTTATATGACTGCATTTCTCACACTCATCAATAAAGTTGTAAAATTTGGTTGGTCATATGATGACTTGCTTTACCAACATCATGATTTATGACCATAATGGGCAAGCTCATTGCTTTGCAAATTGCCTTCTATTAAATGAAATTTTACAATTGGTTGTGACCAGTATAACAGTCATTCTGTGGTTGTAGCCATTATCTGAAAACTCCAAGTATGCTTACTGATCCCCAAAGTTGTAGAGCCTCTGACTTTCCGTGAATAATTTTCAATTCCATTGTGAGTTACAAAACTTTATGGGGCAATCTGAACCAGGAAAAACAAATACGGTAGTTATCATTGGAACTTTTCTTTGTGTTTGCCTCTAGCATTTTCTTTAAAATTCAGCTTCTTCATAGAAATATTTTCTTCGTCCCAAGACCATGTTCCTCATTTTCAAATATACACTCTTAGTACACACTGTACTGTGTTTGACAAAGATATTTTTTAGCTGTGCAAAGCTTTAAAATATTACTGTGAGACTAAAAATTATGCTGGCCAACTATGTGAAGTGAAACCAAATAAGCTGAATAAGAACACTCCTGGAGAGAGGATAAAAAAGTGGAAATATATTAATATTTCTTAGGGGCAGTGACTTTATTGCTCATGGCAAACTTGATGCTAAAATGCTTCATACATCACTACAAAGTGACAGGCTAGGGAAAATGAAAAACACAAAGCTTTACATAAATCAGGCAAAATCTTATTAAAATGCATAATATTTTATATAAGAATCAAGATTTTACTTTTATCTATTCAGAAGCTCTTTCCCTCTTCTTAGTAGATATTTAAGATTTTGTGAAAGACCCACAGTTTCAAGCTGTTTTATAGCAAATCATATTTCAGATTCGTTGTAGACAAAGCTGTCACGTTCTTTAAAAGCCAGCATTATGGAATTCTGATGTAGATTTTAGTGTATACAGTTAATGTCTTGTTTAAAACAGTTAATAAAATAATTGTTTATTTTGTGCTTTGATGGAATCATAGCAAAACCTATTATAATTTTCAGATTAATTTATTTTCTGTCAAGTTATGAATGAGTTCTATATTATTTATTCTATATACATTGAGTAAATTATTACCTTATAGACCCTACTTTTTAAGAATAAAATATTTCCCTCCCCCCCCCGGTCGCCCTATTTAAGAGTTTGATCACTTAAGACTAAGAAGTTGGTCATGTTGACAAGAGGCACATTTCATCTTGTCTTGATTCTCTTTATTCTTCTAAAACAGGAATAAAAGTTTTTTAACTTATTAAAATGCATTAACTCATTTTATGTAAAATATTCCATGCTTTCAAGCTAAGAACATGTTTTTAAGCATGTTTAAGACAGTTCACTCATTGAAATTTAAGCAGACTTAATTGTGCACCAATTTAAGGCAGATGTTAAGAATTGCTTAACTATTTAATCCTGTAATAAAAAGAGAAAAAAAATAGAATCCTAAAGTCAAAACAGTATATTTACTGTGCTTAATGGAAGTCTTAACATTCCAGAGCATTAGAGAATACTCATAGATATTATACTTGTATATGGGTTTTTGGATCTGTATGCTCAAACACATATGCATAAATCCTAAAACACAAACATTGCAGTCTGAATAGATTTAAAATGTAGAAGTCAGTAGATAAGATAAGATAACCTTTATTGTCCTTTTTTTTTACTGTGGGCACTGCGGCACACATCAAAAATGAAATTTAGTTGCCCACTCTCAAAGTGAAACACATACATGACACACACCTAAACATACTATATACAACATACGTATAGACCCACACCCCTACATATACATAACAAATATTAAATATTGTCCATCTTGAATATATAACGGAAGGAGGAAGCTTGAGAGTTCACAAGGTTAATGCTGTATGGAATGAAACTATGGCTGACTCTGGATGTTCTGCTATGGATACCACAAAGCCTCCTCCCAGAAGGTAACAAGGAAAACAGGTCGTGAAGAGGATGTGTAGTGTCCCAGATAATCTTATGGACCCTGCTCAAGCAATGCTTCTGTGCTATGTCGTGGATGGGAGGGAGGGAACTGCCAATGATCTTTTCAGCCATCCTCACCACTCTCTGCACCGCCTTCCTGTCTGAAGCAGTGATGCTTCTAAACCAGACTGTGATGCTGTATGACAAGATGCTCTAGATCGTCCCCTGAAGAAACTGGTAAGGATAGAAGAAGGAAGATGTGCTTTTCTCATGCGACGCAGAAAATGCAGGCGCTGCTGTGCCTGCTTCACCAATGTCTCGCTGTTGAGTGACTAAGCCAGCCTAGTTGTTAACTGCACACCCAGAATTTGATGCTGGTAACCATCTCCACAGGTGAATCATTAATGCATGGAGAAGTGTGGCTGTGCCTGTCTTTTTTGAAATCGACAATGATCTCTTTCTGGTATTTAAAACTAGGCTGTTTTCATAAATATAATATATGTTGTTTTCTAGCAGTGGTTTGCTGTTTGTTTTTTTTGTTTGTTTGTTTTTTGCAAAAATGCTTTAAGAACCTAGTCTTACCTTCAGGCTTGACATTCTCTAATCAGGTTTGCCTCTTCTTATCTTCCAAGCCAAATAGAGCAAGTTGCTGCTGAGACTGTATAGATTTAGCATTTGTAATTTGTTTTTCCTGAATAGAATAATTTGCCACTTTAATTTACAGGAATAAGCTACACTCATCTCAGTAGGACCTACAGTATCTCTAAATAAGGGTAATATATAAGGCCAACGTGGTCCCAGTAGTGGTAAGAGTACTTGGGACTGTGACTTCTAAGCTGTGAGAGTAGGTCCAACAGATCTCAGGAACAATATCAGAGCTCTCTGTTCCTGTGCTAGGAACAGCTCAAAATAGATGGGTACCTTAATACTCCTCGTTAATTGGTTCCAGGAGGCATGATGAGTGCCAAAAACAACAAGTACCAAACAAATTTTTCTCATAAGGGATAATGTAATAAATTTAATGCGTTCCCGAACGAAAGACAATGCACATTTTTAAGGTCATATGTAAAAAGATAGGATTGTATATCATAACTTTACATGAGAAATAAACCTAAAAATTAGTACATATTTAGAATAAATAAAATAAAAAATTCACTACCCATACTGATGAGAAAAAATGTGCAAAAATAGACAAAGTGACCACAGAAGCTAAGACTGCAAGGGGATGTGCACAGGGCAAGAACTACCTCGTGACTAAAGCATCACCCTTGTTTTGGCTGGAAAAGGTAGCGAGTCACAAGCCATCAACACAGACAAGTTCTAGTTTGCACTTGAGTAACGTATCGGGACATTTTCTCATCAAAATGTGTTGAGTACTAAATTTGTCGAGTTTCAAAGCACTTAAGACCCCTCAAATTCCCTGATCTTGGTAGAAGACCTGAGATTGAGGAAGACACATACCAGCTATAGGGGCGAGAAGGATTTTCTTTTTAATAGTATAA